CTGGCAGACAGCTTGATTGTGTCTTGATGCTCAGGTTTTTTTGTGAGTCGCGTGAGAAAACGCACAAATTCCCACAAGTTTAGTCTGTAATCAACGCTCTTCTGAAATACCTTGTTATTTTTGACAGCATTTAACGTTTTGCCTTAGAAGTATCAAATGTAAGAGTCATTCCCACCATAATAAAGCAGTAAGATATAATGAATTACAAGTTTTCGGGGTGAAGATTTGTGGAGATTGTAGTACATTTGACATTTGGATCCACGAGTCAATCTAAGCTAGGCTACAAATGAAAATCTGGAAGCACTGGACTGCCGTTTTGCATTGGTATGTGACTCCTCAGCAATATGCACTCACGATCTCGTACGCCGGATCCCAAACCAGAATACTCGGTATCGTGCGTCAACGCTCAACGTCTAGACCAGTAGACCGGCATCAAATGGTGCTAATATTCAACCTCAAAAGATAAATGATCTTGCACAACATTTCTTCCAGTATCTGAAGCCGATAAATGCATCAACCAGATACGGATTGAACTCCACTGGTCACGGCTTCTCACTAGAACTGCAGGAAACAATTTTAATTGCATATTTTTAGTATACGTTGGTTGAGATGAAAACATTGTCACAGTTCCCTTTGGTTCGTCACACATGAGGATGGTGCACAAGTAATCTTGACTATACGTATACTCATCGGTGAGCTTTTTATCGTATCACATATTATCGCATTCAAAGGCTCCAAGACTGAGCTGCCGGGGACGTGATTCATTTCCTACGGGATGAGAAACTAATTACACTTCATTACTCACTGATTAATCACAACGCTCCGCTAACTGCAACCACCGTACCACGGTTCAACATTGCGCACGTAATGTCGCGTAACTTATTAAAGGGATCACATTGCTAATCACTGTATAGAATTCAATCAGACTAATGATAATATTGACATAGAATAAATTGATTACCAATTGAGGAATAATCAGTTTGAAGTGAGCATCAGTAATATGTGAGGTTGATCACGATCCAATTAGCTCACTGGTACGGTGGTTGACTGTTACACTCTTCCACACGAGTTTATTTCCGTAAAGGACCTCAGTATCCTCAAATCTGTGGATACACACTTCTGATGAGTGAAGAACTGCATGAAACACCAATCCATAACAATTTGTCCACCACACTCAACTAACACAATTTCGCACCCCTATGTGTTATATGGTAGTTTGTGTCACTTAGGTTGGCGGCCAAAGAGCAACTTGATCGATGAAATTCGACAAACATTAGAAACGTGTCATTTGCTGGACCGCTCAACACTTAGTGACCAGTCCGTGAGAAATGAAGAAATGAGTAGTGTAAAATTTAGCGCGAATACACTTGTGCTTCTCAAATTAGTATGTGGACATGACAATAACGATAGTTTCTCAGCTTATGTGCTTCACACAATTCCTCTCTTAACTACTTGTTGGTTTTCTCATGAACTGGTCGTGGTAGTGAATGAGTTTGCAAAATATATTTCCCAGAGCAATATTCTCCTATTTTTCGCTGATAATATTTTTTCCCTATGAAAAAATAAAGCAAATAGTGAATAATTTTGTTCAAATTTTACTACAGGAATTCAAAAAGAAGAAGAAGAAAGGCGTGAACAACAGCGTGAGTATTTCAATGATTTTATTTAGAGTTCATTCACATTTAATGTTCAGCTGGTATTCAGACTTGTTTCACAAACGCTTGAATGCAACAAAAACACATGGAATATTCTGTGTGAAAATGCGTGTTAAAAGTCGTTCGATTCAAATGAACGATGTTGTCACTAAAGGATCTGGTAACACTGATTTTGTGTTTGAGTGCGTTTCTGTGGAATGGTGTTCTCCAAGGTGAATGGACCAACTGATTTTGTTTTTGGGAAGTTCCTTGTTCAAACTGTGGAAATTAATGAGCTCTATACTAACTTCCACAAGCGGTAAACGGTCAATTATGTCATTGTATAATCTGATGAATTCTTCTCCTCCAATGACAACATGTCCAACACTGCACTGCATGTCGCCTATTTGACTGGCGGACAGCTTGATTGTGTCTTGATGACCACTTGTTTTCTTGTCGTATGTAACGTGAATATTTGAACGTTTTTATGTTCACTTTTATTACTATTCCGTCGTTCACCACCCACGTTCTCTCTAATATTCACACTAGTTTTATCAACTGAATAGCATATTATTTTATTGAGCAGGTTTTTGAGTCTTCCCATATTCTTTTCATTGAGGCACGCTAGTGTGGTTGATGTGCGGATTGTTGTTCATCGCTCAGGAAAATTTCGTGATTCACATTACGTTGGTGTGATGAACGGCACATTAACACTTAGCGTGTGATATACATTCGAAACGCGCGATAACAGTTTGTATTTCGGATTCACGAACATTTGTATGTAATGATTTGTCGACTGAAGCAGTATAAATCACTGGATAATATTAATACTCCATTGCTTCTCATGTTGGAGAAAACACAGTTCTCTTGGAAGCGAGCAGAGCTCGTGATAAAATCATTCATAAAAACACCGATCTCATGTGTCTGAGTAAAGAAGGAATGTACAAGCAATAGCTGAGGCACATCAATCAACAACATTATATTGACAGACTACATACAACGTCAAAAAGTATGTTGGATTTGTATTGCATAGATCTCTTCACATCCTTGCTTTCATAATCTCAACTGAGAAGACCACTCAGTTGCAATGAGTCACGTCGAAATCTGTTGGTGTACAGATGAGAGAATGACAGCTTCTGTAAACCTTTTGAACAGCTTGCCATTTACATTCCCAGATACGGATTAATTTACGCTCACAGTGCTCTGGCCGATTTCGTTAAATAGCGCTGTAATAATTCACATTTAAAATTATCGTGTAGGTTACAAGTTTTAGTGATGACAGGTCTTGATAATCGGATCATGGAAGTACATGTTTGATCACATGTGAATGTGGTTTCCGTAGTGTTGACCTGAACATGTGTTGATATTCTAATCTTGCCGTGTGTATGAGTTGGTATTCAAATAATTGGATAAAATTCGTAGCCAACCACTAAGGAATAAATTTTATTTTGTGGAAATCCTTGAAAATTGATTAAATTTACACACATGCACCATTAGGATTCAGATTGATGATTTTGTGGTTAGATGCTCGCGTCCAGTCAGTTCACCATGAGAGCTATTCAGGAGTCTCATTCACAATGGAAGCAGCTGACTGTTAATCATACTTCCAAATGATGAGTTGACAAACATCAATCCTTGACGTGAACTAATATTATGAGTGCTCTGACCTTTTATTCGTGTCTGATTAATCGACCTACATTGAAGTTCTAATGTGAATACATGCGATTTCCTTTTTTGATGTTCTATTGTTATTTCATTAGGAAGGCAACAAATGATTGATTATGGTAAGTCATATTTCGTTCTTTGATTGTCCTGTGTCATGTTTTTGAAAATATCTTCAGTCTCTAAATTTTGTTCGATCTGTTTTATACCATTTTTTGACTGTTGTTTTAATTGTGCTTTTTTGATGTTTCTCCGTGTTTGTTGTTCTCGATATTGTTATGCCATTTTTTTATTTAACATTTTGCTTTTATTAGTTGATCGAGGAACATATATCTTAAGTATGGTTGGTAAGTCAGCTAATTTTTCAGAATTTATTTGTCATTTCTTCTACATTTCCTCAATAGATGTTCCTTGTTTTTCATCGACATTCTCATCATAATTTATGTAGCATGAATTGTGCACACTGATAGGATAAACCTTAATAGTGATATTGCAGTGATGTTTCTGTTTCTCAAGTGTTTTCTTATGAATATGATGACACGTCTTTTATGGCGTTTTTAAATAGCCATCAATATCAGTACCATCTTCGTTATGAACGACAGGGCGTCTGTTTCACTTTTCCATATAAAGATTTCGAACACTTTGTTTTTCATACATACATAAATTACTTATTACATTCTATTCATAAGAGCATAATTTTTGTTTTTATACTTAAGGTGCAGCGTCAGGAAGATCTGATATACGAATACCACGTAAACGATGACATGTTACTTATACTTATTTATTTACATGCATCATATAGACTTTGCAAGATAACTATGATTAAATTCCACATTATTGAGTGATTCGTTCGAACAAACTGCTGATATCCATCGGTCATTTTGTAGCTTGTCAGTTCACAACTGTGAGTAGCGGCTGCTCAAGTGACGATCGAACACATAAGTTTCAGATCGCCCTACATAGTGATTCGATTGATAATGTTGTGGTGTATCTCTCACTTGTTTACTCACATCAACAAAACATCAGTTAATTTGCCTTCGACAAATTTCCACTACCATTTTAATAGGAAATAAAATGATTTCACAAAAGTAGTTCTCGGTGGTTATTACGTTTAATAAATTAATGAACAAGCAAAGACCTCGTCGCTTCTGCTTATAATAATTACAAAGAAAATAAACGAGTATATCATGTCAAAGTACTCCAAGTCCCCAAGAATTGCGGACAATTCGAGATATACCTTACTACCAGGTTTCACATTTTAGGGAAAATGAGTATTGCAAGGTAGAACTTCCTGTATGACACAACTTCCATTGACAAAGCAAGATTCACAAATTATTTCATTGGATCGCGTTAATGCTTGATCCCTTGAAGTATTTGATAAATATTCCAGACCAATAATATTTACAATAAACATCTTATTCAGTTCTGGTTAATAAATAATCAGCACAGATGTTTGTTGTCAGCAAATTCTAGTTAGTAAGCGGAATATAGCTCTTCAATAGTCAAGTGTACTGCAAGTAAAATCAATGAAAATATTTTTTGAAAGTTTCATTTCGATATCCTCGGTATTTTTACAAACATTTACGCAACTACTTATTTACCCTATTGAAGGTCGTTATTTTGACACATTTTTCGTAAATAAATAATGTTATTCATAATTAAAGAATAACACGTATGATCTGGTATATAGTTCTGAATTATGCTATGTATAGTAATGTTTGTCGTTTGATTGCTTTTATAGAACCTTACATAGAAAAAGACGAAACGGCAGATGGTAAGTGTTACTCGCAGTTAATGTTTTCTTAAATGTTTCCGCAAAAAATACTTTATTGTCTCTAAGGTAGTACCTTTCGAATTCCAACGGTTGACAGATTGAAAACACCGTCATTCTGTTCGTTAGACTTTTTATGTCATAGCGAAGAATTAATCACGAGTAACTTCTGAGATGTATTAATTGACTAATATTATCTATACATTCTTATGGTATAACTATTCAATAATTAGATTATGTATATTTATATTCCGCTTATTAGAAGCCTCATTTTGACCTATAATTTATTATTGTACGATTTACTGTTCGTAAGCTATGTTCATTTTATTGACTACTGTCTCCCACGTTCACAGACACATTTTGACTTTAATGTGTACAAATCTTACTTTTTATTGTTTGGTGCGTTGTGGTCTGTTTGATTGATATATGAACACAGTATGTCTGAAATAAATGATTCAACTCGATTCGCATAGTGGAAGCTGGTATTAGTGTTCTGGACTCAGGTGGACGGGCTAGGCGGACATGGGACCAATAAGGACGCTAGGATGCTCATACCGGTCGAATGTCAATGGTTTGACACAGTGATAAGATTGTATAAGTCGCACTTTTATTGGTGGATAAATCGCATGATAACTAACCGGACATAAAGTCCTAAAAAAACTAACTTCATGAAAATTGAAAAGGAACACTTGTTGAAAAAAATGTACGAAATATGCATTGTGCCTTGCGAAAAGTGACTTTTGAGATCGATCTTCTAGACGGGATGATATTTACCTCAATAAGTAGGAATCATAAGCCAAACTGTATTTTATCAGTTGATTTATTTAAATCATTCTAGTATAAACTGTCTCTGACAAGTGGTGGTAAATGTTGAATGAGATCAATTGTGGATATTTGCAGTTACTATGACCTCGAGAATACCTCAAAATTATGAAGAATCTAGTGTCTCAATCACATGTGGATCCCTTATTTTACTCATGCTGTACATCAATTTTATTGATGTCAACGATTACTTGATGATGGCTTTTGCCCAGTATTTTACAATCAGCCAACAATGTAACAAACGTGATTTCAGAGTATACGATGAAAGGCTAATGCTCAGTAAATCCAACATCTGATGATAAAATGTACAACTCGGACAACGAACACATGCACACAATAATATAGGATCGGTGAAAATAACCACAACTTCATTCCATCAACTCTTAAAAGTCTTGAAAGTGAACACTCCTTTGAAACGTTAAACTTTATTTTGAAATGATTTATGGTTACTGTTTAAAATAACACAATCAATTATACTTTGTTTCATTTAGCTATTAGAGCTGAAAAACGAAGGAAAGAGGCTAAAGGTATATGTTAGCAGTATTTGACATGATTAATATTCGATGTTTATTTTGTAGATGATTCATAGTTCTAAGCTATTCACTTCATTATTAGACACTGTGTTACATAAGAATAACGCTGTGAATAAATTGTTTATAATCTCATACCTGTTTGATAATCTTACACAACAGTTCCCAGTTAGGATTCGAATGGATGCTGATCATAAGCTATCCTAATGAAGTGAACTATGCTTATACTTTCAAACATTGAGGAGACATAGTTTGTTCTATACATTATCCTATCACATAAAATCATATAACTCGATGAAATTTTATTGCTCTCATTTGATGACCAATCAACAACTACTTTGGACTCCATTGTTCGACCAATCATTCTCATTGTTATGTTCACTAAACAATAGTTACGATTAAAATATATTCATGTAAATAACATTGATATTCCTCATCTTTAAACTTCATCTTACTCACAAACTCAACACAGTGTAGAATACTATTATTTGTAATAAAGGTCGACTGATCGTTCCGACCCAACACTTATAACTTACATTTATTCTCAGAAGTAGTAAATCAAGTAGAAATATTCGCTTTCCGTCTAACATTGGTCATTATATTTAGAATTGAAACCTCTTTGAACTAATGAAGATTATATGCACAACTAAATACTTTAAACTGCCCAGGTTCAAATGAATCGAGCCTCGTAGAGCTGATGAACATCAATAGAAACCTGCACTGCAGGATATGACTAGTAAAATATCCGCACGTCATGACAATAACCTAACCAAGCACAATCCCACAAGTTATTGCTTTCCATCAATGGGCGCTAGGTTCTCTTATTATCCGTTGATTTTGAAGATACTCTTTGCTTCACTGTTATCACGACAAATAGTTGACAAGTAGCAATTTAAACACATCGAAAATACATTTTGATAATACACGACACGTTATTGTTAAATTTGAAACTTTCCCTTAGTTAGTTGATTTGACTTCCAAAATTTGATATATTCAGTGAGACAAATGAACGTGGAACCTCAAAAGCATTCTGAATCACATTTTTCTGTTTACAGAGGCCAGATTGCATTATATAAAGCAGGCTGTCAGTAAGTTGTATAAACACTTGTATTTTTAATCACTGCGTATTTAGTCATATTTGAATACCTCTTGCAATGGGTACTCATTTAGTTAATTCTAAATTCTTATGAAAGCTTCCGAAAGTAACGATACCCGTTAATCGGTATATTTCTAACGTATATCCTAACTGTTCTATGCGAAAATACTATAAATAATTATAGTCCTTAGATGATTAATTATAAACACACATCTGAGCTGTTCTACGCATTTCGACAAATTTTAAAGTTTAATTTCTCTCTTACTTTGCTGTTTCAGATTCCTTGTATAGAGGTGAAGATGAATACTATTACGGTAAACTTAAATGCACATGGATTGAATTCATATTCTTCAGAATTATAATTGATTACAGTTTTTCATACTCATATTCAATATATATAAACATCACAATTAATTTTACTTCGAAAAAGCTGAACAACGAGGGATCTGGTTAACAGTGTTGTTTGAGCATTGAGCATCGACCAGTGGCTACATAGAGTGCATAAGCATGTCTGATGACCAGCAGCGATTTCCCCTTCTCCCATCATTGCCTCACAGGAATCGAGAGAGCGCGACAGAACAAGCCTCACGTGTTCGTTATTCGATCATCCTCGCATGACAATGATGCGCTTTTGCTAGTGGAGTCTCCTTCTTATAGCCTCATACCATCGTGCACACTGTTTGTAAAAAAACAGGTGAAGACGTCTGATGGCGTCTCACAAACAATTTGACTCTGTGGGCGTGTCAACGTTTAAACAGTGTACACATCCGAATGGATTGCAAACGCCTTGAGATGATCCAAGAAACGAATTTTGATGTGGCCGATACGAGTATGGTTGATTTGCTGAAAGCACGAAGATCGTTCAGGTCCACAAAGTACACACATCGACTCCCAACCACTACAATATCCGCATTTAATGTAGCAGTCATGAAGCATAATATATGATAGTTTCAGTTGACGTGTTCACACCTTACTATTCCAACGAATCATGTTTGTTGGGTGAAACCATTGTGAAGATAAGCATTCAATATTAAGAATTGCAAATTAATTCTGCACTTAAAATGGGAATTTTCTAAACAACCTAATCGTCCATATTGTTGATTTTTCATAAATATTTCAGAAACGGACGAGGAAATTGATGAACAAGTTTGGTAATTCCATATTTCTTCTTGAAAGTTTTTTCTTTCGATCATAACTTTAAACCCTTTTTCTTGTTTTTATTTTGCTTGTGTCGTGTTCTTTACTATGTCTCTCTTTCTCTTGATTTTTTATTTTTTTACGTTTTATGGCTGTTTAATTTTTTATTCCAATATTTTCCTGGTGTATGATTTTGAACTCATTACTTAAAAGTACGCTTAGTTCTTTCTGAGTCTAATGTGTTTCTTTCTCCTTTTTTAGATGATTTTGAGCTCTCGGAAAACCCCATATCACCTTTTATTTCATAAATTGTCCACAGTAGTATAATTATTTACTCTTGTCACTAATAAATACGTATTTACGAAGTCGAAATGTTTTATTTTATACTTTTCACCAAGTAAATTTTGAGCTATAAATCACTCGTTATCCGTTATAAATTCAAGGCATTTACGATATAATTGGCGTTCCCGAGCGAGAATTAACGCTGTGAGTTTTAGTACGGCGAGCGGGATCGTGGATGCGCACTACTGAGGGATCCCACAATAGGACGAAACGGCCGTTCAGTGCTTCCAGGTTTTCAATGATCGTCTAACACTAATCAGTTCACGATCTCAATAATAAACGTGTTAAATCAAAAGCGTACATGCCGATCTAAATGTGTTTTATGTTCTCTTGAAAACATTACTCATGTTTACATTTGGTCATTTTTTTTTCGGGAAACCATCAATAATAAAGCAGAAAATATTCATCATTACCGCTAGACATTATTATCAACATTTTCGGGATAAGTCAAACAGATATTAGTTTCTCGATTATATGATCATGTGTATTATTTCTAATGTGAAATTTGTCTGCTGCAATCACAGATTGATTAAAATACTTCGATGAAACCAATGACTGGACTAATTTGTACTGACTTATCATCCGATCATCCTAAACGTAGTTAACACGACACTGCTCTCATTAGTTCTAGGTGGGCTTCAATCATTCAAATTTCAATAATGGACTGGTAAATTCATTTTAATCATCTTTGATGCTGACTTTCAAATGAGGCTTAGTTGACAGCATTTGAATTGTGATCTTAAATATTTTTTTTCTACAGTTGCAGTCGTCGTGTTCAGAAATCCATCTTCATGCATGCTAATTCTGATATATTCACACAAGTATTTAACTCTTCAACACTTGCGTATTGTAGATGTGTTTCTGTTATGCATGTTAGTTACTAATATATTCGACATCTTGACGGACTTCCAAAATTGTTTTCATACGGATGGGAATGCGCTCTTAATTATATTGGTATACATAATGAAGGAAACTTTAATTCTCCTACCTATATGTTGAATGCCCATCATATTGAATTTAAGCGTTTTAACCTTCGGTTTCATTTAACTGAATGATTTTGAAAGAGTTTCGTTCTTCATTACTCACTCGATACTAATGGATGCACACGGATGCGTTATGGGTATCGGTCAATAGTTGGGCTACAAAATAGGAAATTAATCTCAAAATCACAATGATGTTCATAATTGTTAAAGATTTCTGAAACTAAGACATTTCGTATTTGTCTTTGTCAATTTGTTGTGATTATTTGTGACAGGTAATTCCAAAGACATTTTGTAGCCCGATAAGTATTCTATCGTACTTGAATGCTGACTGATTGTACAATAATTTTTGCGATGATCACTATAACCTTTGGTTCATTTGTATACATTGAGTGGATTAACGTTTTTAATGGTTAAGTGACTGCCCAGTAATAAGCATTTAGTAATTTGAGCAGTTCGATCTGCTTGTCAACATAAGATATTGGTCTATTTTGAACTACTGACAAAGGTAGGAACGGGTATGACGATGATGAACGGTTTGCATTTGGGAAACATGAGTTTCCTAGAAAACGCGTCTTGATTTACAGTTGTGAATTTAGTATCTAAAAGTGTGATCGGCAGTGTGAATTTGCGTCGGTTTTATTGTGATAAAAAGTTTCGTTAACATTTCAACAGCTTGGCATCCCAACCAACCAAGCTTTTTAATCTGGACCGCATGACAGTTTTATCCGTCGTTTTCTCAACTACGCAATAATTTGCTGGAAGTTAGGATTCTTCAGAATTCAAGAGGACTAAGACCCTTCTTGCAACTAGAGCAATATCCAACGTGCATTAATTGAATATCCGTTCAAGTATCAAACGTTTATTCGTAAATCGCAAGTAATCAACTTCAATTTATTGTTCCAACGATTGTGCGGCGAAAATTCGATCATCAGTTTTCCGGAAAATAAAACTGTGAAATTAATAATGGCTTTGGTAAAAGTTGCTAAAAATCTATGCTATATATGAGTGAAATTGAGTTATCAAGAACGTAGTTAAATTAATGACGTTCAGCACAGCAGTTGTCAATGAAATAAATATTTCCTGTTTCTTCCCTAACCATCATCATGAATGTCAGACCATGCTATGCAACAACCGCATGAGACAGTAAAAAGGATGCTCATTAGTTTTATGACATTCTGCGTCCTATTGTTGTGAAGTGAAAGAATCGGGTCATTGAGGATAGTAACGGACAAAATGGTTATGAATATGTCATTAGAGGACGTGGACTGTGGAAAACGAGCGAAGATGAAGAGAGTTTCGCAAACTCGTCTGCTTGCAACTAAATGGTTACAAATAAAACTACATTCCTCCACAACTGCATACATAAAATGTTATGGGCTGCGCCGGATCAAGCTAAACGCAGCTGGATCAGTCTAAATTATACAAAGAAAGAGTTCTTGTAGATCCTTGGAAAATGTCAAGAGAAATGTCAAACACACTACATATTCAGTATAGTGATCTGAATGCTACATCGGTGAATGTTTTTGTCAATGCTGATTCTTGTCTGGTTATAAATGTTCGTGACTGAATTGAAATTTGATGTTCGTATTGAGCAGTCACTGTACTCTGCATTTGTTCATAAACGTTTTTCAATTTGTCCCTTAGATTTCTTCGCATGCGATTAAATTACGTTGACGTCCTGCCTTGATTGTGATGACAGTGTCTGCTACGAAAGGCGATCTGTTATATGAAGGATATATATACATAAATAGATATATATCCGCAAGGTGGACAGTATGCATCTTAAATAAATATAGTCTATAAAAGTGAATATCAGTTCATTCCTTCAAATATACTGAGTAGTATTCGAAATGTTTTGCAAAGTGGCATCACGTCCATGCTGCACACCAGATACAATCTCGGCATAATTTTATTGAGATTTTGGTCATGCGAAGTATTTATGCAAAGCAACTTTTTAAGTTTGTAGCTGTTGTAAAGTAGACTTGCAGAGTGCTTGATGTGATCTATGAACTTGGGAAAACACGTACGTCTAGTTTGTTCCAGACGTCATAGGTTCCATGGCTGTGCCTTCTAAGCATGATTCTGAAAAAAAAGACATACCGACGAGCAGCAAGGCACTTGGATATGAACGATAAACAACACCTAACATTTTGTAGCGGAACAGACAGTGGTATGATAAATTATTAGAATAAATTCGTACTAGCTCTTGTAGCTAGAGTAAGATGTGATCAGAGGCTCCAGGTGAGAGAGTGCAGTAATAAATAACAATGAGTTGTGATATTTATCAAGATGGAGTAAGTTCAAGTGAACGAAGAGAAGTCAGGGTTGGAATAAGGAAGGCTTTTTGTTAGAACAGAAAGTGCATATAGAGAGTAAAATGTTAAGATAACTAACAACTATGTCTTTTATTGTCTTATTTTTTCCATGCGATGCCTGCCACACAGTCTTATTGTAAAATTCCGAGTTGGCATGTTATAGGTTGTCTTGTGGTGAACCAGACGATATATAAATGCAAAAGTATCAACAAAGTTAATAAAGATCAATAGTAATGTTAATATATATAAGTTAATTATTACAAATACAATAGAAAGTTGGGAATTTACTTAAGTTCACCCAATTGATGCGTGTCCAACTTTGGTCTGGTATAGTAAATCCACAATTCTAAATGCTTGGTAGTTCTAATCGGGCTGACCAACTCTCCATTGATATAATCCAACGTAGGATGTGATATATTCCAATCACAGTCTATAAATGTAGATAGTATTTGATTTGGAATCCAGTTAATTCAATCACAAACGAAGATAGAACCAGGAATGTGTGAGTAGCAGTGTATTTGTTTGCCAGCAAGAGTATGTCACGCTATGTGGTTGCACAACGGAAAAGAGTGTTCAAGGTCAGTAACCAAAACAACAGGTACAATCACTTGATGATAAAATATACAGATAGTGAAAGATTGACAAAATAAATACAAATAATAATGAAAACTATTTACGAAATAAGCTTGTCAGGCCTATCTCCACAGACTTAATAGAATAGCTAATCCAGCATAAAATTGGAAACATGAGTCTGAATGGTAGGCGTGGGAGAACAACTACATTATCACAGGTTGATTGACTTGTTGAAGTCATCGCTCTCACCATCAATGCTTGCTGGTCAGTAACGCCGCCCTCCCTTCTTTTGTGATGTTAGACTCACTTAGGCTTATTCTTTGGGTATATATCATACCTCACACAATGCTTTGTGTTTCACATAATGTTGAAAACACTATTTCTATTAGTACCATTTTACAAGCTTACCAGTCAGTTACAGATTATGGACTGTGGGTAAGTCATCAACGCAATGTTTAATTGACTATAGTATAAAGTATAGGTTGAAAATAAGAGTATAGGCTATAAGAAGGGTATATTGTTGGATAGTTGTTTACCAAAGTAGGCGGAATAGTTTAGAAATATACGATTTATAGATAAGGTTATGAGTGGTGAAATAAAATTAATGGCAAATCAACTGGAGAGTAAAAAGCTGATAAACAATAAACAAGAAGAAACTCACAATAATTTGGTGTTGATGTTATTTTGTTCCATCTTAACCGGTTGATAGTTAACAGGTTCCAAATTTGCAAGACCACTGGTAGTGGACAGTCGATGAGTCGTTCTTTAGTGTTTTGGAAGTGAAATCTCGTTGTATTCTTTCCAC